CACTTTGAATACGACTATTGATTATGAAGACTACGAGACGACAGAAGCGGATAATTCACTGCAATTTATTGATGCAATAAGTGATGGGTTTCTTAAGTTTGTTGAAGAAAATCATACAAATGGTTAATATTTTTGTTTTTTATACATTTATTAAATTATTTATTAATTAATTTGCTCACAAAAGTAATTTAGAAATAATTATAATTTAATTAATTTTGATAATTAAAGAATATTGGATTTCATATTCTTATTCATTAAAAAGAAAATATATTATTAATATATAATTTAATACTAAATAAATTCATATTCTTGACGAACATTTTTAGTTATGATAAAATATAAATGCTAGACATAAATATACAAACATACTTGTGTCAAATTATATGAATTATAAAACAAATTTCTGATTAATTAATTAATAATTAGAGGGCAATGTATTATACAATTGGCATAAAATGACAACCGATTTAACCGACAAACTATGGGACAAAGCGTTGCCATTTGTGGCCAAATCTCAGCACCGATTGGAGAACATATCGCACGAATGTGCAGGGTCATTGTTTAAGATCATGATGGGCCTTCGCAAGCAAGAAACGTGGGCTGTTATGTGTGAGCATCGCTTCATTTATCACATTGTCTTAAATAACTCGCAATCATATCTAGAGATGACAGTTATATAAGAAATATTGTGTTTTATAGTCGTGGACTCAATGGGAAGTATTATTCCTTCGGGTTTCCTGGAGGGCACTGTCACCAGCTTTGGTAATGTCGACGAATGCACTGTCATTTCGGTGCCCGACGACGGCTACGACGAGCCCTTTCACGGCAAGTATTGTCTGCTGTATCTGAGGCCAGAACTGCCGCCAAAGTCGGGTCTTGTCAAACACAGCGACCACTTATTCAATCTGAGCGGTACGACAGCGGAGGGCACAGTCTTCGAGCACCTCTCAGAGAGGTTTAGCGGTATATACAGTGTCGGTGCCATTCGTGTCGGCGTTTGTGTTCCCTCTAATTGTCAAAAGGATGAAATCAAACCTCTCTTATCGCAAAGTAATCTAAGAATCTCAACGCTTGTCGCTGTTTATCAAACTTAACTAAAATAAATGTCTTTTTGTGTTTATGAAAAAAATCAAGTTTTCAAAGCCTATCAAATGGATGCAGACTTAAGCGAAAAATGTCTGTCAAATCACGACTCAAATGGATTGAGTATTCATCAGAAGGTTTCTCTGTATGTATGAGTTTTTTGGCTTATTTTTAATCACAACTAAAATAAAACAAATGCATTATTTCAAACATTTTCTTCGCTCTCGAGTTACTGTTTTAATGAAAAGACATTATTATTGCAATTATAGAGAGCTCTTCTATTCCTGTTATATCTTGTCTAACATTTTGTTGGTTTTTAATTAAAATATTCTTACATTTGAATACACAACTGATATTATAGTAAACTATATGTTTTTTGCATTTAACTCAAACATTCAGTTTAATTTAGTCATATTCAATATATCCATATAATGTAATCTCCGTTTAATTTGAATACAACTAAAAATTTGCATTTTTTGAATGTCTTTCCAACAATTTAAAGGCAAAAATCTATTGTTAAAAATAATAGCACTGAAAAATTTTAATTAAATATAACATTAGATAATATTTCATTTCCGTAGACATGAGTTTGTAAATATAAATGATATTTAAAAACTCAAATCTAATTATCCATAGAATTTTATTATCGTTGATGACATTATTGGTGGTGATGTCATCTGTGTCTCACTATTTGCTCAACGGATCAGTTAGCGGGAAGTGTCTTAAATCTCTTCACTGTTGGTCTTTATTCCGAAACTATGATCAACTGATGGCCACATCTGCCAAAGAAAATCGACGTATGGCTGCAGTCCATGGGATTAGAGTATTGACAATAATCTGGACGACAATCAATCACACGTACACTTTCGGCGGTTTCTATAAAATACAATGGAGTTATAGTACGATAACAACTATTAATTCTACATTTACCATCATTTATCATAATATCACCAATATCATTTTTAATCATTTAATAGAGAATTTATCACAAGTGCGAAAAGTGCCAGAATCATTTATGTTTCAATTAGTGTTCAACGCCTGGGCTTTAGTCGAGACCTTTTTCTTCCTCAGGTATGAATTCATTGCATATTTTGTGACATTTTTCTTATATTCCATATAAAAAATATGTAATTTTAAAGCATTTTTACTATCTTTTCAGTGGATTACTTGTTGTTTATATAACGCTTCCGATGTTACACAAGACGAAAGGCAACCTAAATGTTGTGCTCTTTATCTTTCATCGATTGATTCGGTTTGTATTAAATGAAGAAAATTATAATACATTTTATAAAAATGAATTAATAGTTATTTAATTGTTATATAGAATCATTCCATCAGTTTGTGGCATAATTGCTGTCAACTTCTTGTGGCCCCTCTTCTCCACTGGTAAGTCATAAGCGATTCATTAATTATATCACATATAAAATGGATTACTTGCCTAAGAATATATGACATATCGTTACACATGTAATGCTTGCAGTACTGGTAATGTACAGAATGTACAGAATATAATACACAGCTCTTACACATTAGGAGATGTAAAACTTTAATTGTAAGAAAACTACCGGTATTTTTATATAACGGTAATAAACAGCACAAGTAATGTACAGTATGCAATATAATATACATTCTATATCTATCTATCTATGTCATTTTTAGAAGATTGGACGTTTTTACGTCATAGATACGAGTGTTGTTTTTAAAAGTTATCAATATTTAGATCTATGACTAATTTATACTAAATTAAATAAAATATTATAAATTTAAGTTTATCTCTTTTTAAATATAATTGCAATTTATTTCGTTAAAATTGAACCAGTAGGATTATCACAATTTGTAGCAAATTACTGCAAGCCTTATATAATCTCTTTATTTATTATCCAAACTTATTAAACAAATTAAGGACCAATTCTTATCGACAACTCGATTGACGCTTATGTGACAAAAAACTGTCAAAACAATTGGTGGCATAATTTATTATTAATTAATAATTGGTTTAGCCCTGATGATATCGTATGTTCTATATCGTTAATCTCATTAATTTGCCATTAATTAAATAATTATATTTTTTCAATCGTTTTTTGTAGTGTCTTATAAATACTTGGTATTTGAGTGCAGACTTTCAACTGTTTTTGTTCGCTATTCTCATTGTATACACATTTTATTGGTATAAAAAGTGAATGTTATTTTACACTGAATACACTTTTAAGTGCACTCACGTTAACATTGTTTGAGTTTTTGGATATGTGGGCAAAAGAAAGGGAGAATTCATATAAAAAACTGTTCACTTTGTGAGAAAAAACATTTTATTTTATTTTAAA